GAAGTCTGCTGACCCTTCTAACCCCCTCACTTTGACGACGGGGTAACAGACCAGAGAGGGCAGTGGCCTTCCCGAGGCCACACAGTGAGTTGCAGGCACACGGTTCCCCACCAATTCTGCATATCAACTGCTGAGTTCCCTGCCCATGTGGCGCATGTGGGGCCGATGCTTCCTGAGCGTTTCACCTGTGTCAACACTGGTCGCCTGGATGACCTGAGGAAGGTGGCAGTTGTCCCCATTTTGTGGATTAGGGAACTGGAATTCAGTCATTTCACCCCAGTCACACATCTGGGAATTAGGAGAGCCAGCATCTCCCTGACTCATCCCGAGCGTCTTGCCGGTGACCCCAGGCTGGGGCCTCGCTCTCTTGCCCTCGGTGTCGCCGGGTCTCTGTCACAGTCTGTCTCTCTCCGCTCCAGACACACCAGCTTCCTTGCTGGTCCTCCAACAAAACCCGAATCCTGCCACAGGGCCTTTGCACTTGCTCTTCCCACCCCCTGGAGTGTCTTCTCCTCCCTCCTGGCCAATGGCCTGCTCTTTGTCATCTTTCAGGCCCTGCTCGCAGGTCACCTCCTCAGAGAGGCCTGCCTCCCCTTTCCAGTCTCTGCGTGGCACAACCCCGTTCGCATATTCACTCATTCACACGTTTTATGATTCATCCAGTAAACATTTTATTGGGTGTGCACTGTGTGCCAGGCCCTGTTCTTGGCCCACGGGCTAGAACAAAGAAGACCAAAATCCTTGCTCTGCAAAGCTTAGTTCTAGAAAGGAAGGCAGACAGCAAAGAAGTAAGGTATAGAATATGTCAGGTAAGTAGCGGTTATTTTTTGAAAGGAAAGGTAAATACGAAATAGTAAGGCAGAGATTCAGATCTTAGATGTGTTGGTCAGGTGAGGCCTCCCGGGAAGACAGAATTTGAGCAGAGGCCTGAAGGCGGCCGGAGGAGCCATTGGAGGTCTGGGCAGGGGAAACAGCCTGTGCAGAGGCCCTGAGGCAGGAAGGCATCTGGAATGTTTAGGAAGCAGCCAGGAGGCCATGGAGGCTGGAGTAGAGTGAGTGAGGGGGAGACCCGGAGGTCTTGGGGCGGGGCCACCTGGGCCTCAGTGAGGACTTTGGCTTTTGCTCTGGGTGAGCTGGGAGCCACAGAAGGGGCTGAGCAGAAGAGGGATGTGGCTCTCTGGTGGCTGTGGAGGGGAACAGACTGAGGGGCAAGGACAGGAACCAGGGAGCAGGGCAGAGACAAAGGCGCTGGTGCAGGCCACCAATGAGCGGGGCCAGCCGAGGAGGGGGTGAGAAGTGGACGGATTCTGAATAGATGTGGGCAGTGAGGAAAGAGTAGAGCCAAAAAGATCCCCACACTTTTGGGGGTGTGCACGGCCACTAGGCTAACCTGTTTACAGTCTGGCCCTCCCATGCCATTTCCTGTAAGGGACAGATGCTGGTCCGTCTCAGTCACTGCTGTGTCCCGGCACCTCAACAGAGCCTGGCTCACAAAGGCACTCGATCGCTCTGTGATCTCTGCAACCTCCTGTCCCCCGTCCCTACCAGGAATGTCCTCGGTATCCTTATTCCTCCGCGGCCCCCCCCCCCAGTGCCATCTCCTCCCCCCTGACCGCTCTTCTCGCCCACCCCCTTGCAGCTTCGAGGCGGAGAATGGGCCCACGCCATCTCCTGGCCGCAGCCCCCTGGACTCGCAGGCGAGCCCGGGCCTCGTGCTGCACGCCGGGGGGGCTATCAGCCAGCGCCGGGAGTCCTTCCTGTACCGCTCGGACAGTGACTACGACATGTCACCCAAAACCATGTCCCGGAACTCGTCGGTCACCAGCGAGGCGTGAGCACCCCACTCTCACCCTCCAGGCCTGCTCCCAACACAAGCTGCCCTTGCCAGCAGGGAATGGGGACACCGCCTAAGCCCCCTGCCACCTCTCCTTCCCAGTGAAAAGTAAACAGCCCCCTTGCCCACATGAGGGCTCGGTCCCTTTACAGCATGCCCACCCAGCGAGGTCTGAGGGTGCGCCCCATCTCTGCCCCCCACTCAGCTACGGTGAGCCCCTCCCTCCAGCCCAGCCCGCACCCACATCCTTGTGGTCCCTGCCCACCCAACCTGCCCAAGCCCACTCCTACCCATCGGCAGCTGGGGCCCGGCCCCCCTCAGCCTGTCCCCGCTGCCACTTCTTCCCACAGAGCATCCACCTCGGCTGAGCCCCCTCTGCCTTCCCCCCCCCCTCCAGGCTTCCCTAAACCAGCCCCCCTTATCACGACCACCTGTTAAGGTGTGAGCACCCCCAGACCTGCTCAGCCCCCTCCCCTCTCACTGGATCCTCCAGCCCTGGCCCTACCCATCCAGGTACCCACCTCAGCTCCCCTAACTCCTCTTGCTCCCCATCCCCTCCTACCCACTGCTCTCACCAGCCCCCCCCCCCCT